TCTTGGACCCCTCTTGGAACGCTCTTGGAGTGCTCTTGGGCGCTCTTGGGGCCGTCTTGGGGCTCTTTTGGGGCTCTCTTGGGGCCCTCTTGGGCCATCTTGGAGCCATCTCCAGGCCTCGGATGGCCATCGGAAGCGAAAAGGCGAGAAAGCAAAAATCATTGATTTTCCTTAGGTTTTGGGACGATTTTGGCCTCTTCGGGGCCTCCTTGGGGAGCTGTTTGGCCACTTGGAGTTATCTTGGGGCCGTCTTTGGGCTTCTTGGAACCATCTTAGGAGCCATCGTGAGCGATCTTGCGCTATCTTGAGCCATCTTGGAGCTCATCTTGGGTTCTCTGAGGCGCTCTTGGAGCCGTCTTGGGCCATCTTGGACGCTCTAACTACCCGCGGCCCCCCCCGTCCAGGTCCAGGGGAGGGGGTAGGGGGAGGGGTAAACCCCTCCCCAAGGGGGAAGAGGGAGGGGTGGAAGAGGATCTGCTCTAGACCACCTACGCCCAGAGGGCTGGTGGGATTAATTCGAAGTATTTTTTATTTGATTTATTGTATTTATTTTTTTCTGGCCTCCCTGGAGGAGGCCCCGGGGATCCTCATCCGCAGCCCAATTAATTTAGTTAAAGAAATTAATCCGTCTGGATTAATTAAATTAATTGGAATAATTGAATTAATTCGGCGGCCTGATTCCGGCGCGGCCTGCGTGAGGAGGCAAGCAGAATAAGTGAAATAAAAAAGGAAAATAAATAAAATAAGATTAATCGAATTAATTTAATTATTAAATTAATATGAATACAATAAATAATGTAAATAAAAATTAAATTAATTTGATTAATTATTTTTTTTGTTTTTTCTGTTTATTTTATTTTTTGTCCCCTGGAGGAAATACTGGGGCCCCGCATCCGCAGCCGAATTAATTTAAGTAAGTTAATTAATCCGTCTGGATTAATTAGATTAATCAAACTAATTAAATTAATTCGGCGGCCTAAGCCCGGCGCGGCCTGTGCGAGGAGGCCAGAGAGATAAATGAAATAAATAAATTAAAAAGTAAAAAATTAATTGAATTAATCTAATTATTTAATATACAACAATTAAATGAATTCAATCAATTATATTTATTCTTTTTTATGCTAATTAGTTCATGTATTTTATTTATTTTGCTGGCCTCCCTGGAGGAGATCCTGGGGGCCCTCGTCCGCAGCCGAATTAATTTAATTAATTTAATAATCCGTATGGATTACTTAAATGGGGTTAAATAGTTGAGATAATTCGGCGGCCTAAGCCCGGCGCGGCCTGTGTGGGGAGGCCAGAAAATAAAATGAACAAAATAATCAAAATAAGTAAAATAAATTTAATTAGTTGAATGAGTTTAATGATTTAATTAATCTGGATAAAATAGTTAAAATCATTAAATTAATACAACTAGTTTTATTTATTTTATTCATTTTATGTTTTTTTTTTTTCCCCCCTGGCCCCCCTGGAGGAGATCCTGGGGACCTTCATCCGCGGCCGAATTAATTTAACTAATTTAATTAATCCGTATGGGACAATTAAATCAATTTAAATAATTAAATTAATTCGGCGGCCTGAGCTCGGCGCGGCCTGTGTGAGGAGGCGAGAGAAATCAATGAAATAACTAAAATTAGCAAAGAAGATAAAATAATTAAAATTAATTGAATTAGTCTAATTATTTAATTAATCTGAATACAATAAATAAAACAACTAAAATCATCAAAGTAATTTAATTACTTTAATTTATTTTATTTATTTTATGTATTTTATTTTTTTTCTGGCCTCCCTGGAGGAGACCCTGGGGGTCCTCGCCCGCAGCCCAATTAATGTAATTTAAAAATTTATTCCGTATGGATTAATCAAATTAATTGAAATAATTATATTAATTCGGCGGCCTGAGCCCGGCGCGGCCAGTGCGAGGAGAGCAGAAAAAAACAAATGGAATACATGAAATAAATAAAATTAATAAAATAAATGAAATAATTGAAATTAAATGAATTAATTTAATTATTTATTAGTCTGAATACAATAGATAAAATCGATACAAAAATTGAGTTAATGCAATCATTTTTGTTATTGTATGTATTTTTTTTTTCGCCTCCCTGGAGGAGACCCCGGGGGTCCTCATCCGCAGCCGAATTAATTGAAATAGTTAAATTAATTCGGCGGCCTGAGCCCGGCGCGGCCTGTGCGAGGAGGCCAGAAAAATAATAAAATTAATAAAATAACTATAATGAATAAAATAATTAAGTTTAATTGAATTAATTTAGTTATTTAATTCATATGAATGCAATACATAAAATGAAAACATAATTAAATTAATTCAATTAGTTTTAGTCATTAAAAATGTATTTTATTTATTTTTCTGGCTTCCCTCCAGGAAATCCTGGGGCCTTTATTTTTCAGCCGAATTAATTTAGTTAATTTAATGAATCCGTCTGGATTAATTAAATTTAATAAAATAATTAAATTAATTCGGCGGCCTGAGCCCGGCGCGGCCTCTGTGAAACGACGACTCTAGAAGTGCAGCTTGCATTTATTCTTGATTTTTCCCCCGGGCTGTGCCCGCGCAGCTTCGGGGGAAAAATGCGCGATGCCAGTTCTGCGTCGTCTTGGAGGCTTCTGGGGCCGTCTGGGAGGCCTGCCGGGTGAACGTGAGGGCGTCTTGGACCCTCTTGGGCCGTCGTCGTGATAAGGGAGAACACGTATTGTCGTGGACTGCCCTGGAAGTAGAGCTTTCTACGCATTCCGGATTTTTCCCCCGAGCTGTGTCCTCGCAGCTTCGGGGGGAAAATGCGCGACGCCAGTTCTGCGTCGTAGTAGGAGAGCAGGGGGGGAGGAGGAATAGTAGGGCGAGGAAGAGGAGAAGGAGGAGGAGGATGAGGAGGAAAACGAAGAGGAGGAGGAGGAGGAGGAGGAATACGAGGAGCAGGAAGAGCAGGCAATCGTCAAAAGCAGAGGGGGCGTGCCCACCCCATGCGAATCAACTAGCCTTGATCAGGGACCCCCGCGTATTGTCGTGGATTGCCCTGGAAGTACAGCTTTCATGTATTCCGGATTTTTCCCCCGGGCTGTGCCCGCGCAGCTTCAGAGGAAACATGCGCGGTGTCAGTTCTGCGTCGTAGAAGGATGGCCGTCGCAAGGCCGAAAAGAAGAAAATATGCAAACCTTCCAAACATTTTTGGGTAATCAATGATTTTGGCCTCTTCGGGGCTTCCCGGAGAACCTCTTGTTGGCCTCTTGGGCCGTCTTGGAGACCTCTGGGGCCGTCTTGGAGGCTTGCTGTGTGAACGCGGAGGCGTCTTGGATCCTCCTGGGCCGTCTTCGAGGCCATCTTGGACCATCTAGGGCGAACTTGGAGGCAATCTGGAACCTTCTCTTTGGTCACCTTGGGCGCTCTAGCGGGTCGCCCACCCCCATGCGCATCAAGCAACCTTGATCAGGGAAAACATGTATTGTCGTGGACTGCCCTGGAAGTACAGCTTCCTACTTAGTCTGGATTTTTCCCCCGAGCTGTGTCCGCGCAGTATCGGGGGAAAAATGCGCGATGCCAGTTCTGCGTCGCAGTAGGAGAGCGGAGGGAGAGGAGGAAGAGTAGGGCGAGAAGGGGAAGGAGGAGAAGGAGGAGAACGAGGAGGAGGACGAGGAGGAAGAGCAGGGATGCGAGGGGCAGGGGGCGGAGGCAATAGTCAAAAGCAGAGCGGCCGCGGCTCCCCGTGCGAATCAACTAGCCTTGATCGCGGAACAGACGTACTGTCGTGGGCTGCTCTGGAAGTACAGCTTTCATTTATTCTGGATTTTTCCCCTTGGCTGTGTTCGCACAGCTTCGGGGGAAAAATGCGCGGTGTTAGTTCTGCGTCGTAGTAGGATGGCCGTCGGAAGACCGAAAAGAAGAAAATGCACAAACCCTCCAAACATTTTTGGGTAATCAATGATTTTGGCCTCTTCGGGGCCTCCTAGAGAACCTCTTGTTGGCCTCTTGGGCCGTCTTGGAGGCCTCTGGGGCCGTCTTGGAGGCTTGTTGTGTGAACGCGGAGGCGTCTTGGACCCTCTTCTTGGGCCGTCTTCGAGGCCATCTTGGACCATCTTGGGCGAACTCGGAGACAATCTGGAACCCCCTCTTGGGTCATCTTGGACGCTCTAACGGGTCGCGGCCCCCCATGCGAATCAACCGGCCTCCTGCTCCATAGTGGTCTGGTCACTTCCGCCTGAGCCGTCTTCGCAACTCTAGATTCAGAGACGCCCTGAGCTCAGGTATTCAGGCCGTTTCGCTTGAAGCATTCTCGCAACTCAAGGTTCCCAGATGCTGAACTCGGAGATGCATTGACCCAAGGTTGTCCGGCCACTTACGCCGCGATTTGTATGTAATGACTCGCATATACTGCGCGTCTCGTATATGCACCGCCACTTGCCAAACTGACAGGTTCACTTGATTACCCATTTCTGTTTTACAGGTTTGCCAGATACCATGTTTGCCCGATGACGGGTTTGCCATATAACAGGTAGGCATCATAAAACACGTTTGCATGATAGCATGGCTGCATGATAACATGTTTGCCAGATGACGGGTTTGAAAAATTACAGGTTCGCTTGATGACGCGTGTCCGTGATAACAGGTTTGCCAGAAACATGGTTGCCCGAAAACGGGTTTGCCAGAAAACAGGGTTCACCACTCATCACATTTTCCGAAATACCGATTTGCAGATGACACATGTGCCAGATAGTATGTATCCCGTAATAACAGACTCGTCATATAACATGTTTGCCATATAATTGATGATAGGTTGACGCGCGTGCAATTGCAAAACATGTTTAGATGGGTTGCCTTGTATATGACTGCCGTAGGCTCAATCTTGTATTCGTGGGATCTTACTGACGTGGCTCAGCTTTGCTGGCCTGTTCACTTTCCGCGTCTTGGCGTGGCTCAGCTTTGCTGGCCTGTCCACTATCAGTAACTGTAGGACCAGCTTTGCTGTCCTATCGTCTCGTTGTCATCGATGGCCGCTCCTGTCTCTCGCCAGATCCTGGTGTGTTTCAACCACTTGCTGCCCGACATCGCGGCGCGCGGCGTGCCGCTGGAGAGGCTCGGCTTCGAGCCTGGCGACTGGGGCAGCGGAGTCGCCTCGGCTGTCGCCGTCGACGCGTGAGACTTGGCCGCGCCGCTGGAATACGGATTCAGAGCGACCGATCGCTGCGCCAAGGTCCTTTCCGTGGCGGTGGTGGCGTTGAGTCGCCCAGTTCAGTGGCCGACCATGAATGCCATCGCCTAGCCGCAGTTGGGCCGCCGAGCCGTTAAGAGCTGTCCCCGGTGGGCGCAGTCGTGCGCGCGCGCAGTGCCCGCCGGGGAGGTGGCGCGGACAGTGGCCGCGCTATCCAGCCAGCCCCGTCGCTCGAGCTTGGCGGTCGCCCCGAGCGACGAGAACGCTGCTGGCATCGCGTCGGCGCTGAGCTCCATCTGGGTGGCGATGCAGGAGCAGATGCACGGGCACCGCGCGCAGCTCAAGACAGCGCTCCGCGACGAGGCATCAAAAGTGCGGGCGCTGAGCCAGGTGATGGAGCGAACTCTTCGCGGAGGCGTACCCGTGCAGCTGGGCTTCTCCGACTTGGAGGAGTGGTTGGCATCGAGTGACCCTTTCCGGTCGCGCTTTGCCAGAGGCGTGCGAGGCCTCGGCGACATGCTCGGCGACCGCTGCACGTGCGGCGCGGTTTCTTTCCGCAGTCGCCAGCCTCGCTTCGGCGACGTCGCGCCCATGACAGAGTGGTTCCCCATGCGCGATGCATCAGCTCAAGAACTCCGCCGCCCAGAAGTTCCTCAGCGGGGGCATCGCCTGCGCCGGGCAGGGGGTTCTGATCCGAGTCAACGGCGCGCTCGATGACGACAACTCCAGCGACCTCGTGTACCTGGTGGCCCCTGTGGACGCGCCCTTGAACGTCCGCGATCGCATGGCGCTGGTGGTCGAGGAGGGCGCCCTCGAGGCCGCGGCGGATGAGATTCTGGACATCGCAGGCGGCAAGAAGGGGCCGTTGTTCGTGCGCGCAGCGCACTTCGGCGAATTCCACATGCGCGCGTCCGTGGTGGGCGAGGATCGACAAACCCTTCGCATCCAGCGAGGCTCGTTCGCATCTGGCCGGGTGCTCGTCTGCGTGGGTGATGATGTCGGGGCAGAGTCCAATGCCATCGGAGTCCTTCTCAGGAGCCTGGGCGAGGTGCTGTCGCTGGCCTGCCGCGCGCTGCTCCCCGCCCACTGCTGCGCGGCCGAACTCGAGCCCGACGGCGCCAACCATCTGTCGGGGCTGACGACGGGCGCCGCGGCAGCAGTCGCGCAGAAACTGGGCGAGAACTTGACGCCCGACCAGATGTCCCTCGTAGAGTGCATGGCAGCCTCCAAGAGAGGCGCTTTCTTTTGCGAGGCGTACCCGGGCACTGGCAAGTCGCTCACCGCCGTGGCGGCGCTCCTCAGCGCCCGCGACGTTTTCGACGAGAAGGTGAAGGGCGTTGTGCTACTGCAGCAGCGGACGCAGCGAGACGAGATGCTGAGTTTGATCCGCAGCGCGCTCGACGACCCATTCGAGGCCGCGGCGATCGGCCGCCCGGCCGGCGATGATTTGTCCGCGGACGAGGGCTATCTCGACCCGGCGTTGCTCCGCGCGCTGGACGACCGCACCGAGAGCATCAAGGGCCGCATCGACGACCTGCGGGCACATTTGCAGACGTCGCAGGAGCACTTCGATCTTGCCGCCCCCGATGGCAAGGAATGGGAACTCCAGAGCGAAGAGATGCTGGCCTTGACGTTTCAGTACCGCAACCTCGTGGAGGAGGCCAGGGGCGCGCCCTTCGGAGGAGTCAGCATATTCGTCATGACGGTCGACTGCTTCCTGCAGATCTGCTGCGGCAGAAATTGGTTGTCCCCAGTCTTCCGGAAGTTCGAATTCAGGCTGGGTGTCGTGGACGAGGCTCGCCAGATGGATTTCGCCCACTTGCTGCCCGTCGCGCGTCGGCTTGGCACTGCCTTGGCAATGTTCGACAGAGCCCAGGACATCGTACACTCGAGGGCCACAGAGTTTCTGCGGGGGCATTCGCCTCTGAGCTTCGGGCAATATTACGCCTGGAATCAGGCGTGCCATGGGCCTTGCCCGCTGCGCCTCTGGGACTACGTCCCACTTTCCCACGTCTTTACTCTGTCAGTCACTTGGAGGTTCGGGCCCCTGCAGTGCAAGTTCATGCGGGACACCTCCAGGGAGCGCGGTCGCAAGGAGCACCCGCTCGTGTGCGCGCTGGACCACGACGATCGCGAGCGGTACGCGAACCTTGCAGATGTACCTCGGACTGCCGTGAGATTCGTGCGCTACTCGGGCGCGCGCTGGTTTCCGGCTGTGACCCGCGGCGTCCTCGCTGCGGACGCCGAGGCCATCGGCTTGGGCGCGCGCCGGAGAGCGCCCGACCGCGGCGGCGGCGCGGAGGAGGCTCCGCGGGCGGCTGCCTGCAAGCCTGTATTCGAGCAGATGCTGTTCGAGGGCTTGCTGCTCCTGCGCGCGATGGCACTGGGCCGCGTTCTCGCGCCGGGCGGCACTCGCTCGGCAACTATTGCACGTGGCACGAAGGCGATTCTGACCATGGTGTGGGCCAACGACGTCAGGGTGAACTTCGACGTCGTCGTGCGGGGCGCCCTCGAGAACGCGGCGCTCATGGAGTCGTTCGGCATGCCCGCGGAGGCCTGCGACGCTCCTCACCTGTGGAGAGTTCTGACGCCAGAAGCCGCATCTGGAGCTGATGCGCCGCTTCAGCAAACCACAGTGTTCCCCCGGAACTTGGGCGCGTTCGACGTTCAGGGCAACGCGCGGGACGCGATGCGCAGGAACGTGGGCTTCGCTCGAGGCATCCTGTTCGCGTCCTCCCACGAGTGCGTCGAGTGCTTGGAGGAGGGCCGCGCGGCGCCGCACTGGAAGGCGCACTTCGATGCGAGCCAGCGCGATCGCGCGCTCGTGGTCTGGGAGTCCCCATGCAAGTCGGGCGGCCCGACGCGGCCAGTAGACCCGCAGTGGATCGACAGGAAGTGCGAGCTGGAGTGCGCCAACCGTTTGTTCGACGCCGTCAGGGCCTTCCTCTGGCCGTTGCCGAAGGTCGTGGCCGACGTGCGGATGGCGGATCCGTGGCCTGCGAGTTGCGCGCGCCCCCCCTCGCTGACGCTCGTGCAGGCGATCCAGCTCGGGTGCGCGAACCTCTTCGACGGCGGCGGGGCCCTCTCCGATGTCGCGCAGTCGCCGACGCCGAACCCGGTCGACGGCGCGAGCTGGGTCAGCGATTCAGACATGCATGGGCTGGCGCCCGACCGCGAAGCTCTCCAGATGTCTCTGCCGCAATTGCTGAGGCCGATCGGAGTGCGCGTGAACAGCGGCCTGGCCACCGTCACCGCGCACTTCTTGGACGCATCGCCCCGCCCCGATGCGTCCTGTCCAACTCCGGAGGTAGCGGCGCGCGTCGCCGCGGCTGGTCGCGTGGCAGCGCTGCAGCCCATCCGGCTGTTCCCTGAGACATTTTCTGAGGGGCGCCCCATCTACGCCGGGCTCCTCCCGTGCAAGCGCCTCCGCCTCGGGGGCGATGCAGAGGAGCAGGGCCGGGAGGCGCGGACAGCGCTCGCAGTGGCGCTTGCGAAGGGTAGCGCCGAGACTCGGGACGTCGTCCCGTGCCAGCGCGTCGGCAACCCGGACGCCCTGCAGCCGCCGAACACATGGCCGACGTTGTTCAAGAAGATGCCGCTGCACGTCGCGCATTGCGCCCTCGCGACGATGCACTTCTTGGCGGGGACCTTCCTCGACGATGCCGCGGTCCACGTGCGACCTCGCTCCCTTTCAGAGGATGATAAGGCTGCGGCTGCCGAGGTGCGAGACGACGTGGTCTACTGCGTGAACTCGATGGTCACTCTGCTCCGGCGGCGCCCGGGCCTGACTCGGGGCGCGGTTCTGCCGCCGGCCTCGCCTTCCGCGGCGGCGACGGCGGCGCGCGCCGACCTCGGCGACTCGTTTCAGTGTGTCCTTTGCGACGGCACTTGCAAGTTGCTCGAGTATCGCGCTGTCACGGGGGACATGGTCACCCTGCCGTGTCCGCTCTGCGAAGTGTGCTCTGTGTGCGGCGGCACTGAGACCTGGGATAAGTTCGACTCCCAGCTCCCTTGCCCGCTCTGCGTGGACTGAGCGGCGCAGCAAAGCCTGCGGTCTCAGCTGTCACGATCGTCGTCAGCAAGCCACGCTGCATGCAGCTCGCCCGCTAAGCCTTGCCAGACTAGCCGTGGCAGTGCTAGGTGCGGAGCACCGCCCCTGCTTAATTCGGCCTTGCAATGCTGCGCGCTAGATGCGCGTGCGCTACCAATGATGGCCGCCGAGCCAAGTACATTGCATGCTGCGCCTTCCCTGTGCTGCTGCTAACTTTCATTGGTCCCCGTGGAACTGCCCGGGAGATATGTTAGAAAGCGAAATACAGCCTAGTGCCACTCGTAGGGCTATGGGGCTTTCAAGCAATAGGGCTATAGGGCTATCGGGCTATAGGGCTATCGGGGTATTGGGCTACTTGTCCGCTCTGCGAGACGTGCGTCCTGTGCAGTGGCAGCGGCTGCTGGCCCGACGATGCGACGCCGTGCCCTGCGTGCGCAGTCTAGAGGTTGCTCAAGTCTGCCAATGCCCTGGCTCCTCAATTTGTTTCCGAACCTTGACTCCGCGCCCGCCCTCCCCGCTCGTGAAACGCGCGGGGGCGCCGGGGCGCCTTGTGCAGGGCGTTGCTCGTTTGTAGATGCCACTGTATATAGCATTTGTTGTCCGGAACTTGCCTTGCATGCGGCTGCCTACTGGGTAGTGATAAATGACCCCATTGCATAGGGCCACATCTGCTGTGTCATAAGCCATAGTACCAGATAACAGGTATGCCAGATATCCAGGTTTATCTAGCAACGACTTTCCCCAAACACAGAATAGCACATGACATTTGATTGCGTTCGCGCCAGTCCGGGGGAAAAATGCACGGCGCGACATCTATTGCCTCGATGCTTAAGTCATCGCACCAGGAGGTAGCGAGGAGGCTGTCATGGGCCGTCTTGGAGCCAATTGGGGCGTCCTGATGCCATCTTGGTTCGTCTGGGCGTCGCCGCCTCTGCCCCTTCAGTCACCGCCGCTTTTCTGGAGCACGGCTGTTCTAGTTCAAAACCCTACTTACATATCACATGATACATGCGGCAGGGTTTCGTTCCAGTGAGTGATGTGCGAGAGAGTTTTGTTCGTCGTCGACGCGCGTGATACGCGTGACATCTCATCTCATATGTGGTCGTATATGACCTGTTCTGCGGGATGTTGGTCAGCGAATGGATTTGCTCGGTAACGGATAACAGATTTCCGCGATGTCATCTGCAGACTGTCGTCGTTGGTGCCGTTCGTCGGTTCCCGATGTCGCTGCGATCTCAGCATCGATCTGTCGCTGCTCGCCGCGCCCCGCCGCCGCCCGCCGCTCCGCCCTCGGCGACGTGGCGGCGCCCGCCCCGCTCTATCTGGACGCGGAGACTCGCGCGCCAGTGCCCCGGATTGCAAACTATCGCAGGGGAGCTCGGTTTTAGATAGTGCTTTCAGACCGCGGATCCGCGAGCCCCCGCAGGTTTTGAAACTCCCTCGTCCCGTGGGTCTCCAGTGTTTCCGGCCTGGTCGGAGCAGGCCACTAACGGCGGAACTTGCGGTCGTCTTGACAAGTCTCGCCCGAAATAAAAAAAACGCTGTTTTCGAAGATCTCGATGTTTTTCGAACATCTCGAAGATCTCTCGGACGCGGGAATGCCCGCAATGAGACATCTCTTTCTCGACATTCAAGAATGCGCTTTTTCCGACGAGTGCCCGAACGTATCGCGGTCGGAGAATGCCTTTGTTGTTTCTGGATGTTTCTGGCGAGACTTGTAGGAGGGTAGGGGTTGAGGGGCTTTCCGCTCATGCGACATTCAACGGGAGTCTCGAGTGGCTTGGTTCGGGGGGACTATTTGTTGTCGAACGACGATTGCGAACAACGGAGCTTGGTATCCTTGGTATCCTCAGATCAGGTTTGGTGGCTCGAAGCAGATCCAGAGGGAGGTTGGCGCTGCCTGTTGTGCTACGCCAACAAGCGCCCGTACGTGCAGGACAAGGTGAACGACGATCACGTCCTCGGAGACCGCCACTCGTGGCATGGCGATCCCAGGAGCCAGGGAACGACAAGAGCGCATCATGTAAACCCGCACTTGTACACTGCTATAATATAATCGAACGATAACTTGTCTGCAGGTTGGCCAGATATCAAATTGTGCCAGATAGTAGATTGGCCAGATGACGGCTTTACCTGATGACAGATCCGCCAGATAAAACATTTGACAAAACAGATCTGCAATATAGCAGATTTGACCGACCACGGAATACCAAGTAGCATAATCATCATTTTACATATGTAACACAGCATACTTGTATCATTTATGATGCCAATTGTTTCGATCTATACCTTAACAGTGTCTATCTCATTTGTATTATGCCTGTCTCTCTCTCTCTGTCTTTTGTTCTCCAGGGGTATCGCCTCGAAACCGCCAAGTAAGCTTTGTGTGAAGCGGATTATCAAAACTCAAATGCGGTGTCCTCGGTGGGGCCCGGTTTGAGTTTAAGATGGAAATGAGCGCGGTGATCTCAGCGAGGTTTCTAATGCCCCCGAGCAATTATCGAGGCCACCGCGTGCATTTTCGAAGGTCACGACCCCCCTCTGCATGGAAAAGTACAAGTTACGTTGGTATTATGGATTCTGCTGTTTTTGAGGAACGGCCACTGCGCCCCGTGGATCCACAACCCGAATCACTTTTCCGTGCGGGTCAGGGCGCCGCCGCCCCAGTTGGTCGACGCGGCCCGGGCGGCGAGGCCGCAACCTGTTCCAGGCGGCGCGGCGGGGGTGGGCCCGGCGGTGCTTGCGCTGGAGAACCCGGTGAACGCGCCGGCGCCCGCAGACTCCGACAGCGGCGGCGGGAGCGCCGCGGCGACAGCGAGCGCGGGCGGCGACGTGGGCGCGGCGGCCAGAGCGCGGGGGCGGCGCGCGCACGGCGATCCAGCGCATCTCTGCGCTCGAGGATCGCGTCGCTGCCCTCGAGGCAGCGCTCGCGGCCGTGCGCATTTCGCTCGGCGAGTGAGCACGCGCGAGTACGTCCTCGATTCTCGTTCATTGGTTTGCATCTTCGCGAGGCGTCGACCATTCAGAGGATAGGGGAGTCGCGCACGTCTTCTTTTTAAGTTGACGCGCTTCGGCCGACCACCTCGCAAGCAAGACGGCCATCGCGCCCTCACGCTACTCATCGATACTAGCAATAAAAAGGGTTTTCGCTGTTCGAGTTACTGTGTTCCCGTCAGTGCTATTATGTCCTGTACACGGCTTGATACGTATGCCAAGAACGTGGCATTACCTTTCGATGGCCCCTTCTGCATGCATCATGTATTGTTCTCAGATTGCCGTGCGTGCGGCGTACCTGTATGGTATTACGAAACCACGCATTTGCATGGGGCCACATCTGTTTTTGTCATATTGCCCTGGGGAACCGCCTCGCGCCGCGAAGAGCGCTGGCTAGCGAGAGCGCGGATGTTTTTTTCTCGACTTTGGAGGGGGGGGGCGCGTAACGTGTTCAAGTCGGTGCCAGCGGGACAAAAAACATGTGTTCTAGCTCCTCGATTACCTCGATGATTCGTGTATGTGGCGTCAATGAATGTTGTATGGTCTGATTTGTATATAGCCACTTTGTATTTCTAATGTTCTGGATGCAAACTTGGAGGCGATCTGGAACACCCTCTGGAGACATCTTTGACACTAACGGGTCGCGGCCCCCCATGCGAATAAACTAGTCTTGATCAAGGAAAACACGTGCTGTCGTGGACTGCCCTGGAAGTACAGTATTCTACGTATCCCGGATTTTTCCCCCGAGCTGTGTCCGCGCAGCTTCGGGGGAAAAATGCGCGATGCCAGTTCTGCGTCGACTTGGAAGCCTCTTGGGGCCGTCTTGGAGGCCTGTTGGGTGAACGTGAAGGAGTCTTGGACCCTCTTGGGCCGTCGTCGAGGCCATATTGGACCATCTTGGGCGAGCTTGGAAGCAATCGGGAACCATCTCTTGAGACATCTTGGACGCTCTAACGACTCGCGGCCTCCCATGCGAATCAAGTAGCTTTGACCAGGGAGAACGCGTATTGTCGTGGACTGCCCTGAAGTGCAGCTTTCTGCGTATTCCGGATTTTTCCCCCGAGCTGTGCCCGCGCAGCTTCGGGGGAACAATGCGCGATGTCAGTACTGCGTCGTCTTGAAGGCTTCTGGGGCCGTCTGGGAGGCCTGCTGGGTGAACGTGAGGGCGTCTTGGACCCTCTTGGGCCGTCGTCGAGGCCATCTCGGACCATCTTGGGCGAGCTTGGAGGCAATATGGGGCCCCCTTTTGGGTCATCTTGGGCGCTCTAACGGGTCGCGCCCCCCCGTGCGAATCAAGTAGCCTTGATCAGGGATCCCCACGTATTGTCGTGGACTGCCCTGGAAGTACAACTTCCCACGTATTCCGGATTTTTCCCCCGAGCTGTGTCCGCGCAGCTTCGGGGGACAAATGCGCGATGCCAGTGCTGCGTCGTCTTGGAGGCCTCTGGGGCCGTCTGGGAGGCCTGCTGGGTGAACGTGAGAGCGTCTTGGACCCTCTTGGGCCGTCGTCGAGGCCATCTCGGACCATCTTGGGCGAGCTTGGAGGCAATCTGGAACTCCCTTCTGGGTCATCTTGGACGTTCCAACGGGTCGCGGCCCCCCCATGCGAATCAATTAGATTTAATAAGGGAGAACACGTATTGTCGTGGACTGCCCTGGAAGTACAGCTTCCTTCGCATTCCGGAATTTTCCCCCGAGCTGTGCCCTCGCAGCTTCGGGGGGAAAATGCGCGATGCCAGTTCTGCGTCGCAGTGGGAGAGCGGAGGGGGAGGAGGAAGAGTAGGACGAGGAAGATGAGAAGGAGGATGAGGATGAGGCGGGGAACGAAGAGGAGGAGGAGGAGCACGAGGAGCAGGAAGAGAAGGCAACAGTCAAAAGCAGATGGGACGTGCCCACCCCATGCGAATCAACTAGCCTTGATCAGGGACCCCCACGTATTGTCGCGGACTGCCCTGGAAGTACAGCTTTCATGTATTCTGGATTTTCCC